GCTGCAGGCTGCTGACGCTGGCTGCTGGCTACACACGGTAGCCCATGGGAACCCACTCCAGGTCAAGCTGTTGTTCACCATCTTAGCTGTAGAGGGCAGTGTCACTGGCCCCCATGTGGGATCCGAACCGGGGCCCTGCTACTCAGAGCTGGCGTCCCAAGCCAGCTCTTAACCAACGCACCACTCGGCCCGCCCTGCTTTTTTTTCTTTTTAAGATGTACGTTTAGAAGGCAATCGTCTCAAAATAGTCATCAATGTAAAGGTGGCCAGATGTATGATTTTATTTCACATATTGTTTTAATCTGGCTATATATTGTCTTTCCAGTGAAGTATCTTTAATACACTGATAGGATTTGTCAATCCTTATCTTCCAGGGAAGAAGCAAATGTCACTTTAAAAAACCACAGGCACTTCTGTTTCTCACTCTTATACTGACACTCATGTAACAGGTTAAAACACACAGTGGGCCTCCTTTTCCCCCTTTCCAGCCAAATCAGCTCTCCTGGCAGGGTCTGCATGTGGCTGCCCAGCCACCCTCCACAGGTTGCCTGAGCCCTCAACTCCCTCAGGCACCACGGCTTCCCCGCATGAGCGCCCCGGGCCTCCACACACACAGATCTTGAGGGCGTCCTACCTGGTTGGCCTGCACCCCCAACTCCTGCAGGGCAGACTTGAAAAACTCAGGAGAAGGTTTCCCCACGACCTCGGCTTTGATACCACAGGCGTACTGAAGAGAAAAAGACATGGCATGGGTTTGGGACACGTGACAGGTAACTACCCGACCTGCAGTGAAGGCCTCCACCTGGGGAAACGGAGACTGCCACCAATGTGTGCCCGCAGGCCCAGGGGCCGAGAGACACATCTGACAGGCAAGAGCATGATGACTCCACGTTGGCCTGCTCAGGAGGCTCAGGGCCCCTCACCGCCAGGCACCCCGCCACCTGCTCGAACACCCAAGCGTAGGGGGTGGTGGCCCACAGCTGGCAAAGTCTCAAGGCGTCATGCAGACCACCCCTGACCAGTATTTTCACTTGATTCTTGCTTCTCCCCCGACTTCCCCACCCATCCCAGCACAGTCACAGTCCTTCCAGGGGAAACGGTCCAGGGCTCCACTGCCCATCTATCCATCCCTCCCACCTGCATACAGGTAGGCAGGAGCAGATGCAGCAGGGAGGCTGGGCGGTGATAGGCGCTGACCTAGGGCAGGAGCCTAGGCTGGGGACAGCTGACCAGGCATGGGTCAGGGCAGATGCTGGGGAGCCCCATCTGGGCCTGGCCTTGGAAACTGGGGGAGGGAGTTGGGAAGGAGACCAGTTAAGACATGTCAAGCTCAAGGTGTTGCAGGAATGAGGTGGATGGTCCACACAGATACGGAAGCCAGAGTCTGAGGGGAGCAGCAGAGAGCATGCTGGGAGGACCGGCCGGGCCACACGGGCAGTGCAGGGCATGGAGGAATGAGAGGGTCAGGGGAGCACAGTGACCAGGGCAGGTGAGGAGCCGAGCTCCAGAGGACAGGCAGCACTCAGCTAGAAGCCCGAAACAGGGGGGCCTACTGTGAAAACATGAAAGGCAATTCGAACACTGAACACACCCCCCTCTCCAGAAAGACCAGGAATATCCCAAGCGGCCCTGAGATCTGCAAAGGGCTCAGACGGACCCAGGGCAGGTACCTCGAGCGCCTTCATGTAGGCACCAACGTCCAGCATCAGGCCAGAGGTCTCCTTGAAGTAGCGTCTAGAAAAGAGCAGAGGGGGACAAGGTGAGCTGAGCCCAAGTTCCAGGAAGTACCAGGAGAAACTGCCCTGGCCTGGTTCTGCTGGCTCAAGAGAGCCTGGTCATGAGTGAGGGTCAGCCCAGATGCCATGCTGAGAATGACCGATGAGGGTCAGCACAACAGAGCCCAGTGGCAGGCTGCCACGCCCAGAAGGGACAGACAGCGGGCCAGCCGCTCTCAGTCAGAATGGCCCCCTGCTGCCAGCCTTGTGGGGACCCCACCACAGTAATTAACGGGGAAACCAAGAGGCAGATGGATCGATCCAGTTGCTAACTCAAAGGAAGACAAGAGGCCTGTGTCCTGAGAAAGCACAGCAGGTCCACAGAGCATGTGGGGAACCCCTAATTGCTAATAATTAACCCCTAATTGCTGCCTGAAGAAGAAAACTCCATTTGTTTTCTTCTGTGATGCATCTCCTATTAGCCCGAGGTCAAGAGGGGTGCCAGGTTTCATGGGCCCCAGATGCTTTTATGAAATGACAACTATGTCTTCCCTGCCTCACTGGGGACCGAGCCAGCGCGGCTCTCGGAGGGTCCATCACATCAGCTACCCTTCTCCGTTTCCCACGCCCTTCGAATTTGGGAGACATCAAACAGCACGTTCACACAGAGCCAAAGAGAAGAAGAGTGAAGCATGCTGACTTCAGGGTTCAAACCCGTTCTACACATTTTTAACTGTGGGACTTTGAGTTGCTTAAGCCCTCTGGGCCTGAGTTTCCTAATCTGTAAAATGGGCAGAAAACAAAACAAAACAGTATCTACTTCATGGATCGCTGTGAAGCGTGAACAAAATAACGCATGCAAAGTTCTTAACGTGATGCCTAGCATGCAGAAACTGCTCCAACTGTATTAGAGAATATTATTATAAACAACTGTTCACCCAGATGAGAAACAGGCGATGAGATGTGAGCTGGGGAGGAAAGGATGCACAGGGGTCCTTCAAATTTATTCTATGCCTATTTGAAACGTGAGAACTGAGCTCCCCAGGAGCTGCCGCGGGGCGGGGCTGTGCCCTTCCCCCAGGGACTCTGCAGGTCCCTCCCTGCCCCACCTGAGGCCTCCCAGGATGCAGAAGCCTGTGCGGCCCACCAGCATCCATTCACCTAGCACTCAGGTGGGACAGGTGCTCTCAGCTCTGCGCTCTCCTCTGCCAGCCTCAGTAGCTTCCAGGCTGGATGCAGGCGGGCTGCAGGGCTTCAGCCAAACCCTTGGCCATGGCAAGGGCTGGTCCCCTGCCACTCACCCTGGTCAGGTGGATTCAGACCTGCAGCCCATCCGTTGAAGCTGTGGTGACAGGACTCATTGACCTCCAAGTGAACCCCAGGCCTCTCTGTCAGGGTCCGAGGCTCTGTGCTCTAGGGGCCACCCCACAAGGGCTCAGACCAGCTGGGACACTGCATGCATTCAGGAAGGTGCCAGGTCATCAGAGAACCACCACCAGCTTACAGAATCAGGACCTACAAATGCTCCCCCTTTTAAAGGGTAACCCCAAAACACAGGCTTAAAGGTTTGTAATTGCATTTGTCTTAAATCCAGGAGGTACACATATATTCTGCATTTATACAGCCTCAAAAAAAGATTCCTTTTATTTTTCCCATTTCTATAATAAACTAGTGTGGTAGGAAGGTTGCCTTAGCTAGGTCCAGGGTTTCAAGGAATCACGAAGTAAAGCAAAGTGCGGCTGAGAGGAAGAAGAAGACGCTGGGTGCTGGGGCCTGCTCGCACTGGCATTGTGGTTGGTGTCAGTTAGCTCAGACCCCCAGACACCTAGGACACAGCTACCTCACACCCTTTTGCAGGACCTGCGGACACTCCCACACCCAGGCTGCCCCCCAGAGACTCCTGGTCTGGTGGGAAGCAGAGAAGTCCACAGACAAATACGAAAGGACAAGACCCGGGAAACAATAAGTGGAACCGCACCTCCTGTGTACACTGCTTGATTAGACCAGACATGCTGGGGAGACGGACACAGGGAGGTACCCCAGAAAAGGAAACATCAAAGCAGAGACCTGACGCTAAAGGGAGGGGAATGGAAGTGTCCAGGCCCAGAGCCTCTGGGAATTGACAGCAGCACCCCACTGAGGACCCCATGGGCCAGAGCTTGCTCTAAGCACAGGCCTCGGTCAAGCGCTCAGAGAGCCACCACCCTTGTCCCCTCACCCTCTGCCTGAGGGCTGCTGTGGGAGGAGAAAAAGGGGACAGTGGGAGCCCAGACTGGGAGGGACGGGGAGCAGGGAGGCCCAGAGGACGTGCTGAAGTGAGCCCGGGACTGAGGACTGAGGGAGGAAAGAATGCAGCCAGCATAGGAGAGGCTCACCCAGAAGTCAAAGGGAGAATTACAAAACCACGCCACCCTGGTGCAATAGGTACAGCTCCGTTTGGAGCTGAGGGTTCTGGGGGCCTCTGGCCCAGAGCCCTGAGCTGGCTGGAGGAGGGAGGAGCTGGGAGTGCCTCCCCTGTGGAAAAAAACCTCCCGAGGACACCCCACCCGGCACAACTTCTGCCCATCTCATATCTGCAAGTCTTTCTTCCAAAGGGACAGAAACCCAGACTTTCTTAAGTTTAACTTTAGTCCTGATGGGAGGGAAAAAAATGAGCATTCAGCTTAAAATACACAATTAAAACCTTGTCTTTGTTACACGAATTTTTAGAGTCGAAAGAAAAAACTGACTTCCATAAATCAAAATGAGAAACCCTAGTATTGTTTTTTAGCTGAATATGGGCTTGTTTTTATGGTGCCCAGAATTTTTCTTTATTTCTTATTCATTCAGGAAAACAAAAAACCATCTTGAAGGCCATCTGCTTGCTGAAAACATCTTTAGAAATACAGTAAATAAAAGTACCTAAGTTAATTTTTTTTTTTTTTACTATAAAGGCCTGGGTTATTCTCAAAACACAAGAGATTTGATATTTTTGTCTTTTGTTACTGGCATAATAAAAGCAACAGCAGGCCTGGTAAGAACCCCAGTGTTCAGCCACATAGAAGAAACTGTGGATGCTGGCAAGGCAGGGAAAAGCCGGCAGAGGCAGTCAGATAGATTTTATGCTTCACTCCTCTGCCCTTGCGATTATTCAGCACAGCCTCCCTTCAAAATGACCACTTGACCTTTCCCACTAGAGCCATTAACCTTCCATAGTCTGTCGAGTAAACAGCTTAATTTTCTGACGGCAGCATGACAGAAGAAATTACAAAGGCAATTCCCACTCTCAGTCCAAACAGATGCCAAATGTAAATCACTCTGTTTCCAGGTGCAGGACATTCTGCCCCAGTGCATCCAGCACCCGGCCTCCTCCAGGACACCGCGCAGCCCTGCTCCGGTGGAGGGCGGCCCCTCTCCACCAGAGACTCCCACTCATAGGTCCTCGGGCTGTCCTGAGAAGCCGTGACCTCGGTCCGAAAGCTGTCAGTTTCTTTCTCTTGTTTCTGAGCACCCCCACCCATAGCCCAAGTCAGAAACCCCCTCAGCGAGAGACCCCGCTAAATGCTTCTTTGTAACACAAACCCTTCCCTACTATTGAATTTGTTGTGGAACGACAAAGCTGACTCCATATTTTTCAACAATATATCTATTTTAACTGCTACCCACCATCTGGACTAATAACTTCTAATAATTAGAGACAATGTTTAAGAAAAAAGTTTTAAAATAAAGGAGTTATAGCACACCTTCTTAATTATGTTGTTCTCTAGTGGAGGTCAGTAGCTTTCGGGAAGCCTAATGGACCAAGCCCGGCACACAAATGAGTTAGGCAGGCCAGGCTCTGTGGCCTGCAGTGGCCTAAATTACAGAAGGTTATAAAGTTAGAAAGGGACTGTAATGGTTAATTTTATGTGTCAACTTGGCTGGACAAAGGTGCCCAAATGTTTGGTCAAACATTATTCTGGATGTTTCTGAAAAAGTGTTTCTTGGATGAGATTGACATTTAAATCAGTGGATTCTGAGTAAAGCAGATTGCCCTCCATAATGTGGTGGGCCTCGTCTAATCAGCTGAAAGTCTGAATAAAACAAAATCTGACCTCCCTGACAAAAAAGGAACCTTCTGGCAAACAGTTTCTGGACTCAGACTGCAACTCTTCCCTGAGTCTCCAGCCTGAAGATTTTGGACTTACCTTGTTTCCACAATCAATTCCTCTCTCTCTCCCTCTCCCTCTCTCTCTCTCTCTCTCTCTCTCTCTCTCTCT